AAATCAAAGACTTCATAGTTCCCTTCACTATAAGCAACAAAGAATTAAAGCTACCTAGGAATAATACTAACCAAGGACGTTAAAGACTCTACAGGGAGTAACTGAAGCACTGAGGAAGGAAATAGCAGAGGATGTTAAACAGATGGAATATCCATACCATGCTCGTGATCGGACAGACTCAACATCATCAAAATGTCTATACTACCCAAACTGATCTACAGATTCAATGCAATACCTATATAAAATCTCGTCAGCATTCTTCAGAGATATAGAAAAAATAATTTTACACTTTGTATGGAACCAAAGAAGACCCCGAATATCAAAAGCAATTCTAGGCAACAAAAACAAAATGGGAAGCATTAATATGCCAGACATCAAACTATACTACAAAGTGGTAGTAATTAAATCAATCTTGTACTGGCACAAAAATAGAAATATTGACCAGTGGAACAGAACTGAGAATCCTGATATAAAACCATCCTCATATAGCCATCTAATCTTTGACAAAGCAGACAAAAACATTCCCAGCACCATTTATTGAAAAGAATCCCTTTTCAATAAATGGTGCTGGGAAAACTGGATAGCCACCTGTAGAAGACTAAAGCAGGACCACACCTTTCACCTCTCACAAAAATCAACTCACGCTGGATAACAGACATAAACCTAAGGTATGAAACTATTAGAATTCTAGAGGAAAATGTTGGAAACACTCTCCTAGACATCGGTCTAGGCAAAGAATTTATGAAGAAGTCCCCTAAGGCAATCACAGCAGCATCAAAAATAAATAAATGGGACATGATCAAACTACAAAGCTTCTGCACAGCCAAAGAAATAGTCATGAAAGTAAACAGACAACCTACAGAATGGGAGAAAATTTTTGCATCCTACGCATCCAATAAGGGGCTGATAACTAGAATATACTTAGAACTCATGAAATCAGCAAGAAAAAATCAAATAACCTATTAAAAAGTGGGCAAAGTACTTGAACAGAAACTTTTCTAAAGAAGACAGAAGAATGGCCAACAAACATATGAAAAATGCTCAACATCTCTAATCATCAGGGAAATGCAAATCAAAACCACAATGAGATATCACTTAACTCCAGTGAGAATGGCCTTTATCAAAAAGTCTCCAAACAATAAATGCTGGCGTGGATGTGGAGAGAGAGGAACACTCCTACACTGCTGGTGGGACTGCAAACTAGTTCAATCTCTGTGGAAAGCAATATGGAGGTACCTTAAAGTGATACAAGTGAATCTACCATTTGATCCAGCAATCCCATTGATGGGCATCTACCCAATGACACTCTACAAAAAAGACACCTGCACTCAATGTTTATAGCAGTATAATTCCTAATTGTAAGGCTGTGGAAACAGCCCAAGTGCCCATCAATCCAAGAATGGATTAATAAAATGTGGTATATGTATACCATGGAGTACTATTCAGCTCTAAGAAACAATGGTGATATAGCACATCTTATATTTTCCTGGTTAGAGCTGGAACCCATACTACTAAGTGAAGTTTCCCAAGAATGGAAAAACAAGCACCACTATATCACCCCCACATATTAACTGAGCAGCACCTAAGTGGACACATAGGTACTACAGTAATAGGGTATTGGGCATGTGGGAGGGGAAGGGGGCGGTATATACATACATAATGAGTGGGATGTGCACCATCTGGGGGATGGTCATGCTGGAGACTCAGACTTGTGGGGGGAGGGGGGAAATGGGCATTTATTGAAACCTTAAAATCTGTACCCCCATAATCTGCCGAAATAAAAAAAAAATGAAAAGAAAAGAAAAAGACACCACAGTTGGAACAGTAAAAAAATAAATAGGACTTTGATCCACAACCTGCAGCAACCTACCCAGGAAATAAACATCCTTTCTGACACTAAACAACCCAAAGGGTCAGCCTACCATAAATCAGAATGGCAGGAAGTCAGACTGGTATCTCTAGTGACAATCCAGGAAGCTAAACAATAACTTGTGCAACAACGGCCAGGAAGTTATTAATGACTGACAGCTGCCCTGACTTTTGTCCCTGCTTCCAACTTAGGACCAACCAGAAAATGCCAAACATGCAGCGCCAGCCAATGACATAGCGTGCCTTACTGCTAGCTAGCCTGTGTCTAGCTTCTCCATGCCAACAGCCTCCAAGCAGGGCAGGCCTGAAGCCTCCCCTACTTTCCCCTATAAAGCTTTTCCACCGATCTCCCTGCCTTTGAGTCTCTGCCAAAACACAGGTGATGGAGGCTAACTCCCATGCTATAGTAAAGCCCAGAATAAAAAGCCTTTCCTTTTCTCATTTGCTTAGGCTTCATTTATTTCCACAGCTGAGATGGCAAGAAATCAGATCTGCCAGAAACCATATTGGGATAAAACCTGCCTCAAAATGCTCCTGCCTCTAGAGTCAGGATTTATAGACTCTGCACATGTAATTCATGTTGTGGACAATACAGAAGAATATGTAATCTTACATATTCTCCTCCTACTCAGCACTATTATTCATCAGGTTCTGTGATACTCTTTTCACTGAAACAAGATACAAGACAGAAAACCTTCAGTACAAAAACAATTTTAAAAGGCAGTCCAGGGGTTATGGACAACCTGACTTTGATGTTTCCCACTTATGAATGGACTCTCAAGGGTCCCCATAGGGATAATTTATAATTAAATAATTAAATAAATAATTTGGGAACTAGTTTCTTTCATGCATGTAAACAAACTCGCATGGTTTATTTGGTTTATTGGGGCAGCATCTTTAGCTAGCGGCTGGTCTCAATGTTTATATAATTACTTACGCATAGCATCACTTTCTTCTGAACATTTTTATTTGATTTTGTGAGTCTGTGTTTACCCTTATTATCATGACCCCGATACAAAAGTCCACTGCAAGTCCAGGTGAGACTGCAATGAAGAGAAAGGTGATTACTATGCAAACAAAAGTAGAAAGAAGCATTCAGAGAAATGCCAGACACCATCGTTCATTGTGAAAGCATTAGGCTTCAGTCATGCGACTATCAGGAAAATTATAATGGACAAAGTAAGAATAAGGAGACATAGACCAATGAGACAGAACTGAGAACACAGACACAAAACCATCCTCATATTACCATCTGATCTTTGACAAAGCATAAAAAACGTACACTGGGGGAAAGAATCCTTATTCAATAAATGGTGCTGGGAAAATTGGATAGCCACATGTAGAGGACTGAAACAGGATTCACACATCTCACTTCTCACAAAAATCAACTCACGATAGATAACAGGCTTAAACCTATGGCATGAAATTATAAGAATTCTAGAAGACAATGTTGGAAAAACTCTTATAAACATCAGCCTAGGGTAAGGATTTATGAAGAAGACTCCGAAGGCAATAACAGCAACAACAAAAATAAATAAATGGGACCTGATCAAATTAAAAAGCTTCTGCACAGCCAAGGAAACTATCACGAAAACAAACAGACAACCTACAGAATGGGAGAAAATATTTTCATGCTATACATCTGACAAAGGGTTAATAACTAGAAACTATTTAGAACTCAGGAAAATTAGCAAGAAAAAAAATCAATCAACACCATTAAAAAGTCGGCAAAAGATATGATCAGAAACCTTTCAAAACAAGACAAACTAATGGCCAATAGACATGAAAAAATGCTCAACATCTCTAATCATCAGGGAAATGAAAATCAAAACCACAATGAGATATCACTTAACTGTAGTGAAAATGGCTTCTATGAAAAAGCACCAAAATAAATATTGGCCAGGATGCAGAGAGATAGGAACACTCAGACACTCCTGGTCAGACTGCAAACTAGTACAACTCTGTGGAAAGTAGTATGAAGATACCTCAAAGAGCTACAAGTAGAACTACCATTTGATCCAGCAATCCCACTACTGAGTGTCTATCCAAAGGAACAAGAGGCATTCTATAAAAAAGGATATCTGTACTCAAATGTTTATAGCAGCACAATTCACAGTTGCAAAGATGTGGAAACAACTCAAGTGCCTATGAGTGGATTAATTAATACATGAGTGGATTAATAAAATGTGGTATATGTATACTATGGAGTTCTACTCAGCCACAAAAAACAATGGTGATCTAGCACCTCTTGCATTATTCTAGATAAAGCTGGAGCCCATTCTTCTAATTGAAATATCATAAGAATAGAAAAACAAGCACCACATGTACTCACCATCAAATTGGTACTAATTGATCAACAGGTATGTCCACATATGGAAGAAACAGTCATCAGGTGTTGGGCAGGTGGAAGAGGGGAGGAGAGGATGGGTATATTTACATCTAATGTGTGCAGTGCACCCTGTCTGAGGGATTGGTGTGCTGTAGCTGACTTGGGTGGTGCAAAGGAAATATATGAAACCTAAATGTTTGTACTCCCATAATATTCTGAAATTTTAAAAAAAGGAAACATGTGAAAGACAGTGCACCAATGAAAGCATCAACTGTTACTCAGCAGTGTAGTAGATTCATTATTGACATGGAAAGGTGAAATTATGAAATTATTGATTTGGTTACAAGATCAAAGTGAGTATAACATTCCTATTAACCTAGTGTTAATAAAACCTTAGATGAGTGCTAATATTCCTTTTTAAAATTTCTCCTATCGCCTATCTACATTTTTTGTATGAGTTTGCTTTTATGTTTTGTTTGTTTGAATTAAAAGAAAGAACACAATAGTTTCTGTAACTTATTATTACAGTACAGGGGTATTATAATCACAGTATTACACTGTATTATTAGTACCACATATGAGCCATTATACTATTGTTACTATTATTATTATAACTGTATATATGCTGAAAATAAGCAATCCGAGTTACATATAATACAAACCTGACCTGAAGACATTCCCAAGAATGTATCTCACCTTAACATGGTGATCATCTGCATTTGACTTATGGCTTACTGATGACAACTTCTGACCATGCACTTAAATGTAAAAGATTCTATTTAAGCATATCTTTCAGTAGCCTCAACAAATTTACTATTTCAGATAAAAATACAAAGAGTAATATTTCTCTGTATAAAGGTGACCGTTAATGTGCCATGTATAGAATTTATAACCAATCTGCAAACACTAAGATTTTGGAATAATAGTTATTTAATTGAATTTATAAAACTTAACATAAGAGGCTGAAATCTCTAAGAGCAATGTTGGGAATTAAAAGGATGCAGGAATATAGGTTAATGTCACATAATGTATAGGAATGTCACAATGGGGTGCATTTGATAATTAGATTTATTTTTTAAAATATATTAAGTACAAACTTAAATCAGTATAATTTCACACTTGAAACTTTTAGCTTATAATAATTAAGTGTAAACCACTGCTTTCATTGCTTTCAAAGATCTTTTCAACAATATGCAAAAATCACACTTGTTAAAGAATGTTCATTTAATAATTTAAATTATTCACAAAACATCCAAAATGAATTACCATTATATTATAAACATGATGAAAATAAGTCTTAGACTATGAAAAAAAGAACGTGATTCTTTTAGGTTTATTTAGGGTGGAAACCCAGAAAGTATGCATAGGATGGAATGCAGTTAATGGAAAACTTAGATACTGATCATAAAGCCTGTGAAACAATAGCCACAGGAGTCTAGGGAGTCTGGAGGTTGTAAATCTAACTCCAACCACAGACAGTTGCAGCCATACCAGCATTTATATCTCCCCTGATAAAGACAAAGCTACCCCCCATCTCTGCAGGATGAGACTAATGCAGGGGTCCCAGAAATTGGTTGTTTGAAAAGAATTTATTACAGCAGCTGTTCTGGCCTACTTACTCACTCCCCCTGGAAAAACCTCCTATAAAACCCAAGGCTTTCCCCTTCCTTGGGGTGTCTTGAGGCCTCCCCCCATCTGCAGCCAGATGCCCAAAATAAACAGCATTTTGCTATGCATGAGGTTTCGTGTGTCTCCCTCTCAGCTCTGGACCTAACAGATCCATCCCACAAAGTAACATAGGTCTCACCACCTTCAGAGGCAATGTATAGCAAATTCAACACAAAGATATTAACAGAATCAACAAAGAGGTTCTGGCCCAGGTCCGATTGCTCACCTCACAGAAAGCCAATTACTGAGACAAAGAGGATGGCCAAGGAAGAAAGGTAAATTGTTACAGGTGACATCACCTAAGAGAAGAGAGAACTGCCTTAAATCTGTTTCTCTGACCAACCAAGGGCAGAGATTTTAATAAGGGCTTCAGTAAGGTGGCTACATCTATTGGGGCAGGTGGGGTTGAAAGCAATGTGTGCAGGAGGTCTAATTCAGAATTCACAGATTGGTGACGCATGACGAGTCTTGGTGTTGTTATCTTGCAATCAGTCTGCTGTTTCTGGGAGACAACTCAAAAGGTAAAATGCTTTGTTCAACAGAAAGATTATAAGGTTCTGGTCATTGAGTTCTACTGGCTTGGGACTCCAAAGCATAAGAAAAGTACAAGCAAAATATATATAGGGTATGTCATTTTGTGTTTGTTCATGCAGCTGATTACAATGATAAGCAACCAGCACTTGCCACCAAAGGCTCTGCCCCAAATGAGGAAATCCCCCTTGGAAGACACTAATAGAATGAACACTGATTGGATCTGCTGAAAACATTGTTCTTATCCACATCACTTTCCTTGGACTTGTTCATCAAACCCCTTCCTGTCCTCTTTTTCTCTTGATGTAAAATGTTACTTTGTTTGATGTAGAAAAGTTAATTTGTAACATTTATATACACATTAAATATACTACTATTACAAAAAAAGATAGTAATAGAATTGAACTGTCAATTATAATACGATATACAGAAAACTATTTTTTAACAAGGATGACCCATAGAAAGTTACAGTTCTGAAAGGTACTGACATTTACCTTTCAAGTGAAAATTAACATTTTTCACTTGAAAATTTTGTGAAAGCTCATTAATTGTCCATTAAATTATTCAGAAGATTTGATCTCCTCAGGAAGCAGCTTGTAAAGGCAGTTCTGAAATACTAGTTGCAACTTCCACTCAGAGGGTGCTGTAATAACAAGGCACAGGAAAAATATGTTATTAAACCTGTAGGCAAAAACCCTTACCTCCTGAAGAAGTCTTTTCTGAATACCACCATCCTTTAAATCTTTCCTTCAAAAGAGTTCCCTATATATTTACACACCCATCCATTTTAAGAAGAGAAAAACCTTTCGATTTCACCGTGACAGCACTCTTTATAAATACAGAAATCCCACCCCAAAGATGAAACACAGACACAAAAATAATCACACTTACTGCTGCCTTCAATGCTTGATCTAGATCTTCCAGGAGATCTTTTTCATCCTCTAAGCCCACAGAGAGTCGAATCATTGTGTCACTAATTCCAAAGACATCTCTGTCCTTCTTAGGCACTGATACATGGGTCATGATAGCCCTGGAAGGAGACATGAGAAAATTCTTGATCATTATGTTGTGACAGTGGAGGCATATTACCCCATATATCAAATTTTTGATACCCATATAATTATTCACAGGCAAAAAAAAAATGAGAAATCATGAAATTTATATATTCTATTCATAATTTTAAGTGAAAACCAAGATTTTTTTCAAATCCTGTTTATCTCATTGGTAAGGTATGCTATTAATAGATCTAGACACTGCGAAGGTCCCTGCCCAGCACTCCCATGCAGGAGGGACAGGAATAGCCTCCAGTGTGTAGGTTTCAACACCTCCCTGAATGAGGCTTTGACCAGAAGTGATATACCCTATGACCAACCTGGTGGACAGCTACTTATAAGAGGCCTCTCGAAACAAAAGTCTGCCAGAATTTATTTTCTTTGGATCATTGAATCAATCAGGAACTGGCACTTGTCAGGCACATCAGGGAAAGATAATCAAGGAGCTCTAGTAGCAACCACTGAGCATCAAGAACTCCAGCATATAACCCATGGCATAGAGGCCTTCAAGAATTTGCTGAACTGTCTAGCAACTCATCACCATAATCAACATGTGTAAGGGTAAAGCACCTATTATGTGTCATGCACTGTAGTAAGAATTGGGAAACCAAGAAGAATGAGATATTTTCTTTACCCTGGGCAACAAAGCAACAGCTAGAGTTCAAGGGAGGGAGAAATCTCTGTGGGCTGAGGTATAATGGAGGAGAAGGTTATAGTCTTACTTACCCCCAACATGTATCTTGCAACTAACACTCTTCCTTTCCCTGCACACCACCAGAATAATCAATGCCTAACCGGCTTTCTCCTACCTTGTGGTCTGAGTACATGGGCATCTTCTTTTATCACTCTAATGAAGTTTCTATACACAAACATCCTCCCTAAAATGTTCTGCCCTGGCAGGCTCTTGTGCACTTGTCAAAGTTACCACCTATCCTCAGTGCCTATCTCTTGTTCTAAAAAAATAACAGATAGCACCTACTGTGTGCTTAGTATGAGGCAAGTATGCTGCTAGGTGATTTGTGTATATGAATTCATTTTTTTAAAGATGGATAAAAATTGGGTATAACATCTATCTTAAAAGTTTGTTAAAGAAACCTATATAAAGCACTCATAAGTAGCTGGAATATAGATGCCTAATATAAGACAATGATTCACAGTAGTAATTAATATTTATTGGATATTTACTATGAACTAAGGCATTGGGATTTTTTCCCATGTGCCCATAACATTCCTAAGAGGTAGGTGCGATGTTACTCACATTTTGCAAATGAGAAAATTGAGATTTAGAGAAGATAAATAGCTTTTCTAAGGTCACAGAGTTAATGTTTTGTTAGGCTGGGAGACTAAGCCAATACACGTTGGCTCCACTATCTCTCTGCCTTATTGTAATGCTCCACTAGTTGCAGCAGAGTTGGGAGCACAGAATGAAGGCTGTAGAACTGACAAGCCCTGACCTAAATCCACTCATCCACTGGCAACAGGGTGATAACCCAAGCTGGTGTGTGTGAGGGCCAAGCAACTTTAAACCAAATTCCCAAATAAATAAGGAGAGGTCTATTTTTAAGAGAGTCTTAAAGTAACATACATTTAATTAGTATGAAAAATAAACCAACTATATATATGTATGCTTAGTGTGCCCTCTTGTGCATAAAGATTTACTAGCAGGCATCACCTGGGATGACTAAAAGAAAAGCTACCTGTTTTACATTAATTATTTCAAATCACTAGTTGGACATCATATATATTTTAACTGTGAGATTGCCTGATCTCTCCCTAACTATAAACTACAATGAGAAAGCAGAAAATATGCCTAAATTTGGATAATCTCTGACATTCCACAACACAGTGCTGTCAAGGCAAGTTATTTTATAAATGTTTATGCAAATGAAACCACAGAAACTTACCACATGCATTTAGTACAATTGGAAATTATTAGGTAATGATGTTGACTTACCCCTGGAATAATTATAATCTATGGTCATAGCAGCATACAGTAAAGGTCATAGCAGCACATACAGGAATGTTTGGTGGGACAGGTAATCAATAAATGGTAATCATTAATTATTAATCCCATTTTATGAATGAAAAAAATGGAAGCTTCATGGTAAAGCAAGCAATTGCTTCATGATAAAGCAAGCAAATGGATCAGAAATCCAGATCAGGCTTCTTTTATCTCCCCTCACTGTTTTTGATGCAAAGCTAAGAATGAAGTTGCTAACATACTCATGTGTGACATTTGAATAAATCAGCTATATTTTCTGGTTCTTTCTTTCCTTGTCTATAAAATATGCTGTTGAACTATTTGATCCTAGGCTGCTTCCTGTTTCAATATCCTCTACTCTTTGATAAAAGTAGATGAATTGATTGCGTCAGAGAGTGAAGGGCCTGGAATACCAAATTGGAGTTTGGACTTACCTTGTAGACAACATGAAGCTACTAAAGGTTTGTCCCACACAGAACAGAGAACAAATGAATCTGAGAATTGCATCAGAGACACATTCTCTATTTCCCAAGGAGCCTTGAAAACAGCCTTTCCAGTACAAAGTCTCCAATCTCTCTTCCAAGGCCAAATGGATAGAACACAGGCCCTGGATCAGAGGTCAGAGATCATAGAATACAGTTGCTGCTGGAATCTCTTTGATGCAGATCAAAGAAGAAATCAACTTTTGGAAGGACACAGCTTACTGGTAAGTAGCCCACCATTAGATTTTTTCAGGGTCTCCATCTTGACTGGGTTAGAGTCCATTCTTATTACCTAGTGCCATGATATTCTTATTGTTAAATATCTTGAAATATCCATAATTTTATCATAATCCTTTTCTAAACAATCGTTAAAGCTGACATTCAATTTGAAATACAGAGAAAACAATAAATATGCTTACGGAAGTTCAGCAAGACTTTCACATCCTCCCAAGCTCACAGCCAGACCAAATAACTATAGCAAAGAAAACATAAATTGAGATCTTCTAGTAAAATAAAAATACTAAAATCTAAAACTAAATGTTTTTAATAAAATGGCCCTGGTAAGAAATTCAGGAAAAAAATGAGAATAAAGTCTCTCACAATGATTTCACCAATTAGGCATATTATGTTTAAGTTTTTACTTAAAACATTAAAACCTGATCCAAGTGAAACTCCTGTATCTTCCTAATTTGGCCCTATACTTAAGTCATACTTAATATGAGCTCTAAAACCTCAGAATTATTACATTTGACACCTAACTCCATGATTACCATTTAAACACTAAAATCTCTAAATGTCTACCAAGTTATATAAACTCACCTGTTAATAAGTATCCCTTATTAAATAAACCCATTTAACTCCTCATTGGCAGAGGGAAAAGATTAGAAAAAAAAGTCGCAGTTTTTCTATTTAGTGTTAACTGCCATTGCCATTTACAAATGTTTTAAAAATTACTCTCATAACTGTATTAAATTTGAGTCACACCAGGAGGGCTTTGCCTAATCTGGCACGTCTCTGTTTACTGGACCTGCAGTATTTAAACTGCATGAGTAAAGTAAACCAAGTGTGTGAAGCTACACAGGCCTCTCTACCAAGAGCCTCAGGACTCTCTGAAAATTAGACAAAGGCTTCTCCTTCCCTCAACCAAGGCAGATGCAACCTGCAAGACACAGGGTTTGAAAAACCACTGGCAGGAAGGATTTCACAATGGCCTTTGTGCAGTGCACTAACTACACACTGCTTTGAGGTTTCACCTATTTCATCTGAAAAAGGGATTTACTTTTAGATAAATTGGGACACCAGTGCATTAAAACATTCTGTCCCTCTCCAACTGATTGTAGTATGTGCACAGTTAAGCAAATGAACATATTTAGATGTCTGCCACTGAGCCATTGGTGTTGAAGTCTTTCTTGACCCAATGCAACTCACGGTAAGATTTATGGATGTGACATGCAGATACAAAAATATTATCTGGGTCGGGTAGAAGTGAGAGATAAGGAACTGCTATAAGGAGGTCGTACCTCTACCATTTAAGAAGCTATTTTGAAAGCTTACCTTTAGGCTCTTGAGGAAAGTCTCAGCATGTTGAAGAGCGCCCTTAATATAAAATGTGACCATCCCCGTACAACCTGTGCACTGACGCTTCGCCAACTCATGCTGCGGATGAGAGGGCAGCCCTGAAATCACAAGGTAGCATAAAAGTGTTATTTGAGAGCCAAACATGTCATGAGGAGGGAGAAATTTCATGGTCTACATAAATATACTACAAATAAGCCTAACATTGAGCTCTATGGCATGCTCACATCTGTCTACTTGTGTAGGCCCCTGTCTCTCTCTCCAGCTTCATACTGACTTATCTTTTGTACCTTCTCCAGCTTTCTTTATGCCAGCTCCACTGCACTCTCTTTCATGTTCAGGACCTTTGCACATGCTGTCCCTTTAACCTACACTCCCCGTATTAATTCTATCCCTCTGCAATTTCTTGCTTAATATCTGTCTTATCCATCAGACTAGTTCCATGGGGGCAAATCAATTTCATTTGATAATAATTGGGTCCCAGTTCCTAGTGCAAAGTGTGGCCCACAGTTGTCAGGGCCAACTCTATTTTTAATAAACACAGGTTGAATGTATCTGAAATGCCTTTTCTGTGCCCTTTTAACAAATGTTGCCTATTCTTCAGGGCACAGCTCAAAACTTTTCTCCCTCCCTCCATCCAAATATATTCACCAATCACAGCTCTTTACCTACAATAAGAATAGGGCATTTCATCTCCTAGGTGTTTCTGCTTGGTGTACCTAAATTCCTTGCAGACAGGGGCCAGTCTTAATTCTCCTCTCAACCCAAAACCACATGGCTAGTTACCTCAAAGGGTTTTTTTTAAAAAATACTATTTACTTAAGAGCACCCCAGCTTAACGGATTGGTCAAATAAATTCAAAGAGTAACATGTCAGTCTGCTAATTCCACAGGAGCAATTCTAGGTGCTGGGAGAGGTGAGGGAATTAGAAAAGGAAGTAAGAGATCCTCAGGGGAATTTTGTCACATAAATTATCAAGTTTCAATGGGGACAAATCGCTATCATGGTGGTCCCTAACCCCTGGCAGGGGACCAGTGTGGGTAAGCAGCCTGTTGGAGGGCGGGCCATGGGGCAGGAGGTGGGTGGCGGCGGGCGGGCAAGAGAGTCAGCCTCAGTCCCTGTTTGGGACCCCTCCCCATTGCTACCGTCACAGCTTAGGCTCTGCCTCCTTTCTTATCAGTAGTGGCACGGGATTCTCATAGGACTGCTAACGCTACCGTGTACTGCGCATGCGAGGGATCTAGGTTGGCCGCTCCTGGTGAAAATCTGGTGCCTGGCGCTGGTGCTGGGGAGCAGCAGCAGGTGCAGATCGTCATTGGATGAGAAGTTTCACTGCACAAGGAATGTGTCGCGCTTGGGTTATCCTGGGACCATACTACCCCCACCCCCACTGCCACCCCTGGGTCCACGGAAGGATTGTCTTCCATGAAGCCAGTCCCTGGTGCCAAAAAGTTTGGGGACCGCTGCTCTATCAGGTTAAAGTTAGAGCTAGTGCAGATGAGCACACTGACAAGATTACCAACAAATCACCTGAAAAGTAAAATGTTGCAATCTTTGAATAGATACACACAACCCTTCAAACCATCACCACAGGAACATCTAACGTATAAAACTGATTTTTAATATCCAAGCATCTACTAGACTCCAGGCAACACAAGGACAGAGATCATGTCCATCTTCTTTCCACTAGACCCACCACAGAGACGGATGCATGGCAGTACTCAAAAATAAATGACCAACATAAATACATATGAAAATTTTAACTTACAAACAAATGTTACATAAACGGAATGCTCTAGATAAGTGTTAAAATCCTAGTACAGGCATATCTGCTTAGAAATCAAATTAACATACCAGGATAAACAACCTTTTCTACCCGAGGATTTGACTCCAGAAACTGGGCAACTGCCATTGCATTTTTGAAATGCTTCTCCATTCGGACTTGCAGAGTCTTCAGACCTCGATTGCAGAGGTAACAGTCGACAGGAGACGGAACCGCTCCAAGAGCTGCAAAATGAACACGTGTTGGGTTAGTCTGAAGGTCGGGTGGAGCCCAGAAAATTCTCTGGTCTCTCTCTTTCATTATAATGACTCTGAAAAGCTAGCTACACAGCTCAATGGTTGAGATTCGGTGGGTAAATATATCGAATCAGAAACATGAGAATGAAACATAAAATATGCATAGAGAAATTTACTTTAGGAGAAATGAGTATGTGAAAAAGTAAGTAAAAACACAATGATATGAACTTTTCAAAGATGAAGATAGCTCTTTCTATGATTTTAATGAAATGACATTCTGCCCATAATCTACCCTTATATTTCTTTGAAAAATTATTACATACGAAGAGAAAGAGCAGTTCAACTTCTATTATTACTGAATGTTCTACCAGCATTCTATTTAGCCTTTGTCTAACGCAGCCGACGATTTCACATGCCTCCTGGATACATATCTTATTCCTACTTTTTCTAAATGAATGGACATTTATCAGGCAATAAGTTTTGGTTTTCCTCCTCAGTCTCTCCTTTCATGACTTTAATAGCTATTTCCTAAAAGGGTATTTTTATTTCTAGTTATGTTCTTATCTTGTCTGTCATACTGCGCTGCTTAAATCTTTATCCACACTTAAGTTGAACTAAACAATATAAACAGGACATGTTATTTAGATACCTGTTGAAAATGTAAGTTTATGTCTGAAGTGCTCTTTAAAATTAACCATCATTCTAGATATAAAAAGTATAGTATATGAATGCCGTCATTCCAAATGTTTTTTACAAAAATAAAAATATTCATTAAGTCTTAAAACTGAAAATTCACTTAGGTTCCCAAATATGATTAAAATTAACATGGATATGAAAATAACAAAACTCATTTGTTGTATCATATCATAAATTCTTGCTATGCTATAAGTATATAGTATATATATTTTTTTTTTTTTTTTTTTGAACACAGTCTCACTCTGTTTCCTGGCTAGAGTGCAGTGCATCGCCTAGCTCACAGCAACCTCAAACTCCTGGGCTCAAGCAATCTACTGCCTCAGCCTCCCGAGTAGCTGGGACTACAGGCATGCACAACCATGCCGGCTAATTTTCTCTATTATATTATTTAGTTGCCAATTATTTCCTTCTATTTTTAGTAGAGACAGGGTCTCGTCTTGATCGGCTGGTCTTGAACTCCTGACCTTGAGCGATACTCCCACCGTCGGCCATCCAGAGTGCTAGGATTACAGGGAGAGCCACCATGCCCGGCTCTAAGTTTTTTCTATTTCCTCTAAAAGTCAAAATTTTTCCTTCTATTCTAATTTTTCTTATATTTCAGAATGCTATAACTTCACAACATTTAACGGAATACAAATGTGAAATGTAGTCACTTGAGCGCATAAGAAGATTCTGACTTTTTAATCTTACAATCTGTAAAACGAAGCTTATCATGGAGGCTCAGAATTAACAGACACTAAGCCCATTAGAACATCACTGTGGCCTAAAACAAAACAAAAACATTTAGGTTAAAAACAATTTATATTTATTCTTTATTTTATAATTTCTAAAATATGACTTCCACTTGAAAAAACCTTGAGGGAAAAAGTCCTATAAAATAAGTTGAAGCAAATTTTATTCAATTTGACAATAGCAAAAGCTATACCTAAAACAATAAAACAAAAATGATATGAAAACTAAATATTTCTTTTTCAGATGTCAGCAGGACAAAAGCACAATCTTTTATAGTAAATTTTAATCCTCTTCTCATAAATCATGAGCATAGTTTTGTTTAAGATAAATAAAATCTTACATTTAATCAAGTGTAACTTTTTTAACTTTTTACATGAGTCACGTAACAGTAGAAGAAAAGAGATCAAAATGTCAAGCCCTATGCTTATTTTCTCCAATCCATGGAAAAGAATATCCAAAGTGTAGACTGTACATATCTTACCATTCATATATTTTGTTGCAGAATACATACAAATATCAGCTCCCAGAGCCAAAGGCCGCTAAAAGAAAAAAGTTTTTATTTTAAATGAGAAATCATTTGAAAATATGTTTGATTACCTGCCTATTTGGAACTGTAAATTCCATTCTTATTCTCATCGATATTAACTTGGTAAAAATATGCACAAATTAAAATTTTCCAGGATCTGTGATATTATCTTTCCCTTGCCTCTCTCCCACCAAATAAAAATATGAAGTATTGGACTCAGTATTCAATCTGAAAGCATAACTTGTATGGAAATAGCAGGTAAACCTAGGTCCACAGGTCTCTGGATCTATTTCTTTCTTTCTTTTTTTTTTTTAATTAATTAATTTATTTATTTATTTTTGGCTCTATTTCTTTATAGCAGTTCCAGACTGGTGCTTAAATTTATTATCTACAGGGGATACACTGGTACTTTATGACACAATAAATTCATAAAATGGTTGACATAAACATTCAGCAATTTTTATGTCAAGTAAGTATAAACTAATCTACTTAGATTATAAATCATTCAAACCTTATGATGTGTACTATGATTATTCACACTTCATTTGTCATGATCTTGACTCCTAACTACTTTTACTATACAGTCAGGCCTCCCTATCCATGAATTCATGGATACAACCAACTGTGGATTGAAAACATTTGGGAAAAAAAAGAATAGTTGTGTCTGTATTAAACATAAAGACACTTTTTCTCTTTGTCATTATTTCCTAAACAATACAGTATAACAGCTATTTACTTAGCATTTACATTATATTAAATTATTATAAGAAATCTAGAGATGATTTAAAGTTTACAAGAGGATGTAGGTAGGTTATACAAATACCACATATTTTCTATCAAATACTTGAACATCTGTAGATTTTGGTAACCTTGGGGCTTCCTGGCACCAATTATCCCATGGATACCAAGAGACAACTGTACTAGTTTTGCAATGTGTAAAGTCACTTATAAAGAAATTTGTTTGGGGCCGGGTGCGGTGGCTCATGCCTGTAATCCTAGCACTCTGGGAGGCATGCTCGTAGTCCCAGCTACTCGGGAGGCTTGAAGGCAGTAGGATTGCTTGAGCCCAGGAGTTTGAGGTTGCTGTGAGCTTAGGCTGATGGCCATCTGCACTCTAGCCAGGGAAACAGAGTGAGACTGTGTCTCAAAAAAAAAAAAAAAAATATATATATATATATATATATACTTATAGCATCAGCAAGAATTTATGATATGATACAACAAATGAGTTTTGTTATTTTCATATCCATGGTTAATTTAATCTATTTGGGAAGCTAAGTGAATTTCAGTTTTAAGAACTTAATGAATATTTTTTATTTTGTAAAGAAACATTTGGAATGACAGGCATTCATATACTATACTTTTTATATTCTAGAATGATGGTTAATTTTAAAGAGCACTTCAGACATAAACTTACATTTTCAACAGGTATCTAAATAACTGTCCTGTTTATATTTTTAGTTCAACTTAAGTTGGTGGATAAGGATTTAAGCAGCGCAGTATGAACAGACAAGATAAGAACATAACTAGAAATAAAATACCCTTTTAAGGAAATAGCTATTAAAGTCATGAAAGGAGAGACTGAGGAGGAAAACCAAAACTATTGCCTGATAAATGTCCATTCATTTAGAAAAAGTAGGAATAAGATATGATATCTCAGGAGGCAATGTGAAATCGTCGGCTGCGTTAGACAAAGGCTAAATAGAATGCTGGTAGAACATTCAGTAATAATAGAGTTGAACTGCTATTTCTCTCCGTATGTAATAATTTTTTCAAAGAAGATATAGGGTAGATTATGGGCAGATATGTCATTTCAATTAAAATCATAGAAAGAGCTATCTTCATCTTTGAAAAGTTCATATCATAGTGTTTTTACGTACTTTTTCCATACTGCATTTCTCCTAAAGTAAATTTCTCTAGTGCATATTTTGTTGTCATTCTCATGTTTTTCTGATTCGATATATTTAGCCCCCTGAAACTCAAACATTGAGGCTGTGTAAGCTAGCTTTTCAGAGTCATTATACCATGAAAGAGAGAGGCGCAGAGAATTTTCTGGGCCCCACCCCCGACTTCAGACTAACCAAGATGTGTTCATCTTTGCAGGCTCTTGGAGTGGTTCCGTCTCCTGTTGACTGTTAGCCCAGTCTGCCAATCGAGGTCTGAAGACTAATGGCAAGTCCGAATGGAGAAGCATTTCAAAAAATGCAATGGCAGTTTGCCCAGTTTCTGGAGTCAAATCCTCGGGGAGAAAAGGTTGTTTATCCTGGTATCGTTATTTGATTTCTAGCAGGATATGCCTGTACTGAGGATTTTAAGCACTTATCTAGAGCATTCCGTTTATGTAACATTTGTTTGTAAGTTAAAATTTTCTATATGTATTTATGTTGGTCATTTATTTTTGAGTAACTGCCATCAGGCATCCCGTCTCCTGTGGTGGGTCTTAGTTGGAAAGAAGATGGAAATGATCTCTGTCCTTGTGTTTGCCTGGAGTCTAGTAGATGCTTGGATATTAAAAATCAGTTTTATACGTTAGATGTTACGTGGTGAATAGTTTGAAGGGTTGTGTCGTATCTATATCAAAGATTGCAACATTTTACTTTTCAGGTGATTTGTTGGGTAATCCTTTGTCAGTCTGCTCATCTGCAGCTAGCTCTAACTTTAACCTGATAGACGCAGCGGTCCCCAAACTTTTTGCACGCGAGGGACTGGCTTCATGGAAGACAACTCCTTCCGTGGACCCAGGGGTAGCCAGTAGGGTGGTAGTATGGTCCCAGGATAACCCAAGCGCGACACATTCCTTGTGGCAGTGAAACTTCTCATCCAATGACGATCTGCAGCCTGCTGCTGCTCCCCAGCACCAGCACCCAGGCAGCCAGATTTCAGCCCAGGAAGGCGGCCAACACTAGATCCTCGCATCGCGCAGTACACAGTAGCGTTACAGTCGCTATGAGAATCGCCGTGCGCTACTGATAAGAAAGGAGGCAAGCCTAAGCTGTGACGGGAGCAATGGGGAGGGGGTCCGCAAACAGGGACTGAGGCTGACTCTCTTGCCCGCCCGCACCACCACCTCCCTGCCCATGGCCGCGCCCTCCAACAGGCTGCTACGCCAGCACTGGTCCGCTGCCAGGGGTTAGGGACCACCATGATAGCGATTTGTCCCCATGTGAAACTTGATAATTTATGTGACAAAATTCGCCCTGAGGATCTCTTACTCTCCTTTCTAGATTCCCTGCACCTCTCCCAGCACCAGAATCTGCTCCTGTGGAATTAGCAGACTGACAATTGTTATCTTTGAATTTATTTGACCAATCCGTTAAGTGGGGTGCTCTTAAGTAAATAGTATTTTTTAAAAAAAACCCTTTGAGGTTAAGCTAGCCATGTGGTTTTGGTTGAGAGGAGAATTAAGAATGGCCCCTGTCTGCAAGGAATATTGGTACACCAAGGCAGAAACACCTAGGACGATGAAATGCCGCTATTCTTTATTGTAGGTAAAGAGCTGTTGATTTGGGTTGAATATATTTGGATGGAGGGAAGGGGAGAAAAGTTTTGAGCTGTGGCCCTGAAGAATAGGCACATTTGTTTAAAAGGGCACAGAAAAGGCATTTCAGATACATTCCCAACTGTGTTTATTTAAAATAGAGGTTGGCGGCCTGACAAGCTGTGGGGCCACACTTTGCACTAGGAACCTGGGACCGCAATTATTATCAAATGAAATGATTTGCCCCATTGGGAACTAGTCGATGGATAAGACAGATATTAATTAGCAGAATTTGCAGAGGATAGAATTATACGGGGAGTGGTAGGTTAAAGGGAGGCAGCATGTGCAAAGGTGCTGAACATGAAAAGAGAGTGCAGTGGAGCTGGCATAAAGAAGCTGGAGAAGGTACAAAAGATAAGTGCAGTATGAAGCTGGAGAGAGAGACAGGGGCCTACCACAAGTAGACAGATGTGAAGCATGCCATAGAGCTCAATGTTAGGCTTATTTGTAGTATATTACTGTAGACATCCGAAATTTCTCTCCTCATGACATGTTTGGCTCTCCAACATAACACTTTCTATGCTACCTTGTGATTTCAGGCTGCCCTCTCATCCGCAGCATGAGGTTGGTGAAGCGTCAGTGCAAACAGGTTGTTACGGGGATGTACATTTTATATTAAAGGGGCTCCTTCAAACAAATGGCCCTTTTGAGACTTTTCCTCGGACGAGAGCCTAAAGTAAGCTGTTCAAAATAGCTTCTTAAATGGTAAGAGGTAACGACCTCCCTTGATAGCAAAAGTCCTTATCTCCCTCAGCTTCTACCCGAACCAGATAATATTTTTGTATCTGCATGTCACATCCATAATCTTACGTGGTTGCATTGGGTCAAGAAAGACTTCAACACCAATGGCCCAGTGGCAAGACATCTAAATCATGTTTCATCGCATTGCTTAACTGTGCACATACTAAATCAGTTGAGGGGACAGAATGTTTTTAATGCACTGGTTGTCCAGTTTATCTAAAATAAATCCTTTTTTCAGGATGAAATAGGTGAAACCTCCCAAGAGCAGTGTGTAGTTAGTTTTGCACTGCACAAGGCCATTGTTGAAAATCTTCCTGCCAGTGGTTTTCACCTGTGTCTTGCAAGGTTGCATCTGCTTGGTTGAGGGAAGGAGAAGCCTTTGTCTAATTTTCAGAGAGTCCTGAGGCTCTTGGTAGAGAGGCCTGTGTAGCTTCACACACTTGGTTTACTTTACTCCATGCGTTTTAAATAGTGCAGGTCAGTAAACAGAGACGTTGGGCAGATTAGGCAAAGCCTCCTGGTGTGACTCCAAAATTTAATACATTATGAGAGTATTTTTTTAAAACATTTGTAAAATGGCAATGGCAGTTAAGCACTAAATAGAAAAAACTGCGACTTTTTTTCTAATCTTTTTCGCCTCTGCCCAATGAGGACGTTAAATGGGGTTATTTAATAAGGAAGCTTATTAACAGTGAGTTTACCTATACACTTGGCTAAATTAGAGATTTTAGTGT